CTCTACTGGCGCAAAACTAATTCCCCGAAGCGGCCAGGAGGAGGCGCCACAGCGGTGAGCTACCGACTCTGTCACAGACCCCAAACAACAATTCAAAGTTGAATTCTTTAACCAGGTGCTAGATTGTGCAGTACAGTCAGTTGAAGAACGTTTCATGCAACTCAAGGAACACAGCAGTATATTTGGGATGTTGTATGATATTTTAAAACTCCTCACTATAGCTGAAGAAGACCTACACCAGCAGGGCCATCCTTACCCATACGCAAAGTACACAGCTGCGTAAGGCACCAGGAAATTGGGGGCAGCAAATTTCCTGGTGCCTTGCGCAGCTGCGTGCTGCTCCAGCCCCTGCTCCGGCTCTTTCCCAGGGCCCCCGCCCTGCTCTGCCCCCGCCCCAATCCCACCTCTTCCCGTCCCCACCTCGCCCCGCCCCCACTTCCCTGAGGACTGCAGCATGGCCGGGCCTGTACTCACCAGCGGCGGAAAGTGCAGACATGGCCCCAGCCATGCTGCCGGTGAGTGCTGGGGGGGTGGTTCCCCCCACCCTCCCAAGCCAGTCCCACCCCAGCCACTCCCCACTGTAGAGGCCTGGGGCCCGACCACACACACCCCCGCTGGGGGGCGGGGGACTGCGTAGGGCCCCAGAATTGCTAGGGACGGCCCTGCATACCAGCAATGCAGGGCACTAGAGACAGTGTTGACACATGACAACATGCGCGATATTGATGCAAGTGATTTAGGTGATGAACTGAAAGCCCTTTCATGATATATTTCAGCAGGACCAACTCCAAAGGCTGTTCTGGAATATATGTGCACAAGTGAGATGATCACCCTCTTTCCAAATGCTTTTTTTGCTCTGCGCATACTTCTAACGCTTCCTGTAACAGCTGCCAGTGGAGAATGCAGCTTCTCCAAGATGAAGTTAATAAAAACACATCAGCCGCTCCACAATGACACAGGAGAGGCTGGTTGGCCTTGCAACCATCTCAACAGAGCATGAGCTGGCCCAGACTGTAGACCTTCAGGAAGCAGTTCAAATCTTTGCAACCAAGAAGGCACGGAAAGCACCACTTTGATTATTCAAACAGATAAAAATGCCAGTGTTTACTATGCAGACAAGAAAAGTTACATTTGCTGTTCAGGCATTTGAAAGTTAAGTGTTACTTAACATTTTTGAACAAGGCATTTTAAGTTATTAGTTCTCC